GTGATGGTGGTAGTGGTAGTATAGTGGTAGTGGCAGTGACAGTGGCAGTGGCAGTGGCAGTGACAGTGACAGTGACAGTGACAGTGACAATGACATAATAAATAGTACCAAAAAAGGTACCGAAATGGAAGAGGCGAAGTACGTTAATTAGATGTATCTAGTGTCTTACAGCTCGTGAGACATTCAAAATGGCGTCTACATTGHCCCATAAAACAACCCACAATGCACTAGAATTCTTACTAGACCCAGTGTTTTCCTCGACGTCTGAATGGCCAGCTAATAGACCTTTTCTATCGTGGTGCATATGTACCTGACTATAGGTAGGAGATTTAGGATCAACATCAACCGTAGACACATAATCAGGTTTCTTGCTTCCTGTGTTGGTTCGAATACAAGGCAAGTACACGATCTGTTCACGTGGTCCTGCCATAGCATCTCTGGGTGTGGCGTAACCTGGTCCATGCTTACAGTGACCTTAATTTATTGACATGGACGATTCGAGTTAATATATTATTACATTAAAGCTATACTTGAAACTAAGAGAATAAAACTCTTGCCATGCATGAAATGATGAAGTCAAAGCAGCTCAATTTAGAGGGCAAAACCAAAGAATTTCAATCTCATGAGAATTGGAAACCTATTATTATGTCCTCTAAATTGAGCTGCATTCCGACGTGCTATAAGGGTTCTTTTCGATCTGAGTTGCCCTGACGTTGATCATGTCGTCAGTATGCACTATCTATGCAGGTCTGGGTTCAACAGCGCAGCGCAACCGTGACGTCATAACAACGAAGACAAAGGCGAAATTCGGACAAACAAACTTACAAGTTTACTTTCAGCAGATAATTTTCACAGCCGATCGCAGTTGATCTTATTTTACATGGGTTATTATTGTAACTTTAAGTAAAAATGATAAAATCGGTTCGTATAATCCTCGTAGCGGTTAAAAAGAATGCAATGTTTGTCCGGATCTTTAAGCTATTTTTAGAATCAGTGCGCTGCGCTATTCATATCAACGAGGAATGAGGGTCATTATTGATATTAATTTCAACGTACCTGCAATATTGCGTACCCTATCAGTTGCTTGCATGTTTATTCTTGTCGATCCTAAGCAAATAATACATTCAGATTTCAAGCCATTGGTTGCCTAACTATAAGATTAGTATTCGTATATTAAGTATTGTAACGAGTGCCACCGGTATTGATGGGTTGCAAGCATTCCCAAGAGTTAAAGAGTTAAAGCGTAAAAAATGAGACAGCTCACTAGATACACTGTGCTGACGAGGCCCAATACAGGCCAAAACAGCTGTCCATGGTTTCTAGTTGAGCTGACTCATTGTTTTACGCGACTTGAAGTTGTGAAAGGCCCATTGGCCCTCTTCTTCAGTCGTTTCATACAAGGCTCGTAATTTACCTATTACGCATGTTCTCATATGGTTTCCGAGCCCATCCCACACGGCTTACCGCCTCATCTTTCACTTAGATCAGAGTATCGAAAACACGCACTCGGTCGAAAATACGCACTCGGTCGCTCGGAATTTGAACTTTCATAAGTAAAATAAAGAATTTTTTTGTTGTGTGCTCGTTATTCTATAAAAGAAATTTAAAACAGTTTTCACATTAAGATATTTTACGGATTACTTTCCATGTTGTTTCTTGTTCTCTCAACAAATGTTAAGATCAAAAAACCCAAAAAAGGGAAACTGTTTTATGTTTCTTAGATTTTGTTTCTGAAAAATATTGAACATTTGAACTGAATTTAACTTGGCCAGATATTCGTAGTTTATGAAGACAAAAAAGTGTCACGTGACTTTAGCATAATGAACATGGCGTCAATGACGTCAAATGAAGTAACCACTCCTAGGTTGAGGAAAAAACTATTGGCATTGCAGTGCATCTCGGGACTGTTTTAGGGGTCGAAATAGACGGAGTCTTGTAAATACATGTCCCACATTAATGCTCTGTAATGCCAACTCTACCAGTTTTTCTTCTCAACCTTGCAATGGCTAATAAACTCCTAAAGTGAATCTAATATACAAGTTTGAAATCATGACACTAAATGGGATAAACGCTATACCATATCTGGTCATAAATCATTCGTAAATGACAATATTTTAAGATGGAACTTGAAATTTTGCATGAAAAAATTACTTGCATGATATTTTTAAGGCCGCTTTTTCATTTTCAAAATTTTTTTAAATAAGTATTTTTAATAGTTTAGTTTTTGTTTTAGTTAAGCACTAACTTTATAATTAAATTATGGGAAAATGTTAGCATATACAGTAAAACCCCTCTATACCGGACACTGCTGGGACCGATAAAAATTTCCGGTTTAGCGGGGGTTCCGGTATACTGAGGTTTTTGTAAATTACTTTTGTTTTCGATTTGAATAGGTGCGATATCACACCTATTGAAAATATGTTTGTGTCTAATCGTTTGGCGTCAGTATAAACAAACACGTAAACAAAAATTCAAGTAAAAATATCAACAATAAGATCAAAAACTAAGCAATTTTCTTAACTTTTTTTCAAAAGAACGCCAAGAAGAAACATTCTAAATACGATCTGAACAAAATCCCCGGTAAAAYGGACTGGGAATGACCCCAAAGCCATGTGACATGAAAAAACATGGCGGCCGGAACTTCACGAACCATTGGATCTTTAGTATTTCTCAACACTATTAAACCTTCCTTATGCATTCTGTTTGGACATTTATATATTGAAAACAATTAGCTAGTATTTATAATGTCTATTTGCGAACAACATTTACTATTTAAAGAAAATTTTCAATGATTTTGTGAGTTTAGAAGTTGTCCCTGTAGACTCAATTTATACACCCGCAAATACGCTAGTGACGGTAGTTCCGAAACAAAGGTACGTTCTTCCGGACTAGAGGGGTTGAATTATATTGTCAAATAGCGTTTGGTACCGAAATTATCGTCCGGTTTCCGGAATAGAGAGGTTCCGGTTTACTGAGGTTTATTTTACAAAAGATATATGGGAAAAATTTCCGGACCAAAACTTTTGTCCGGTTTAGAGAGAATTCCGGTATACTGAGGGTCCGATATAGAGGGGTTTCACTGTATTTACGAGTTTTGAACGGCATATTTCCTTAAAACTTCACAGGTTTAATATGCTCTTTCCATCTATAGGACTTCGCTTGGTAGCACAAAAACTTCAGTCCAAAGTTTCACCGTGTATGAATGACTTTAGTTGACTAGTCTTGGTCAAATTTTCGCCAAGAAATTAAAAATAGTTTGCTTGAATTGACAATCTTTATAGCAAGAATACGACAAGACGCACAACAAAAACACGACAAGCTCAAAGCCAAAACACCATTTGAATCTTTAACTTTTAGATCCGCTTTGTACGCCAAAATAAAAGAAATATATTCTAAACACAACAACTAACCTCTAATGGATACTTGTTATTTCTAAAGTCCTGGTAAGTCCTTACAAAACCAAGATATGTAGCTTTGAAAAAAATCCAGCCTTTGTCAAAATGGAAAGCTTCACTGAACAATGTGATCTAAATTTAGCAGGGCAGTTAAAAATATTCGCGACGAGTTGAAAATATTATATGGTCGCGAAGTAAATATTGAACCGTTGAGGCTTTATTGAAGCTTTGATACGTCTAGACATAGAGGTGTTAATGATATATTTAGTTCCTTCGTGTGTTTAAACCATAAAGTCATAAAATCTCAATTTTCTGAAAGAAAAAGCAGGTTGTTTAATATTCTTCTGGTTCTGCTCTCTGAACTGTGAAGGCACTCAATCAAACTAGCCCTTGACCCCTGCTGAGCCACGTTTTATATAAAACTTTGGAATTGGAATTCGGATTCCAAAGACTTCTAAGATGAGTGTCGACTAATTACATGTTTTTGGATTTTTTATTCTTCTTTGAGACTGTGGTAGCCTGCGTCACATCCGGGATTTTATGAAGAAAATTCCGGATTCGACGCAGGCTAAGACTGTGGTTCATTCAATATTTTTTCTTTTGTTTTAGCACGAAATATTTACAAAATAAAACATGTGAAATATGTGCTTCAATATTGTTGTTAGTTCGGAGTACACGAGTAACAAAAATACCCAAAATACACGGTTTTCTACAAAAAAAAGAAGGTAGTTCGAACCAATAGGCTCCGGCCTTGCAGTTAAAGGTCATGGGTCTGCACTGGAGAGCAAAATTTTTTGTTTTTATTTTAAATTGGTGATTCTTTTTAGCTACTTGTAAAGAACTGAATGAGACGATGTGTAACCAGTGTGTTACGAAATGCAGTTTTATTACGATCTAAATATTCATTCATTTGCTCTCAGTGAATGAATCAGCACGTGATTACTGAGCTGCAAAGGGCCTATTTCGACCCATCTTCCGATGAGCTTCAGGTCCTGAACTTAAGGATCTTCAGGTCCTGAACTTAAGGATCCTTGCTTAACACGTATGAAGCTCAATGCAGCGTGACTACGCACGAAAGAAATATTTTTATGAATTTCAACTTAAAATCGACTTAAGATCACCGAAAAATTGGGTGTCGAGTAGGAAGTTATTTTTTTTGTTGTTGTTGTTGTTGTTATCCAGTATGAGCAGTCATGTGATGATGTACTAAGAGTGGCCTATTTAATGTTTTGCAATGTTTGTCCAAGATTAATAACTTTAGTTCGAGAGAAACAACCAGAACGAACGACTGACCTACATTATTTAAGCATTCACGACTGAATGATAATTCTGAGCTTAATAGATGCTTTAGGGATCAATACTTTTTTCTCTCTCTTTCGAGAGCTACGAGATAAAACCGTGTTGAATTACCAACTATGGTTTATTATGCAATGATTAGATCGATCACTTTGTGAAAGGGTTTGTGTTAATATACATAATATAGTATTTAAAATATCTATAGTCCCTTAGTATTTTGTATTTTCTTAGCAAAATATTTTTGTTTTCAAACCTTTGTCATAACGATTAATATTTGATACAAATCGAAGAACAATCGAAAAACTATATTATTGTGTAATAGGTCGTTGTTATTAGAACTTCGTGGCTCGCAAACCTTGATTTTCTGTCTTCGTATATAATAACGACATGATAAAGGCTGATCAAAGCACTGTTATTTGAATTGAGGTAAAATTTTACTTACTTTGAGTGAGGTTATCTGTGCGAGAAGCGAACACAGCCTTTCGAAACAATGAATACACGATGTAACAACAGCAAGCCCAAGAGACCGATAACACAGGGAACCCACAGGAGAGAAAGTAGTAATACACAGGGATCCCAAACAAGGGAGTACAGGGTTTATTGAGGCTAGAAAATTTTTTTCAAAACACAATATACACTAATAGTCTTTAGTCTTAGATAGACGTTTTTGACGACTGACTACTAAGGAAAAAATTTAGAAGAAAAATCTAACGTTCATTGATAAACAGCTATTTCTGTGGCACAGATATTCAAAACCCAGGAATCTTGCTTCTGGTTTTGGAGTGCCCCAGAGCCTTTCGCACGTTGCCTTCCGAGGTTGGCAATAGCGCAGGCTCTTGGGACGAGAATGTTGTCCTTAGAGTAACCTTAGAGCAAATAGCCAGCAAGCTTTTAATGTAAATAAATTGGTTTTTCTGTGTGTACGCTAAGTAGACACAAATTAATCGAGAAGGGAACTGAAGATGAATTATCTAAACTCTGATTGGTTGTTTAAAACCGTCTTGTATTTTCATTGGGTAGAAAATATATCACATGGTCTCAGATTTTTCCGAAAGAACCCTAAAACCCGATGGGGAGGGGTGTAGGGGGGTGTTGGGTGGAAGACTAGTGTGTTTATTATTCTTAAAACGTATCAATAATGCACGAGGAAAAGACAATAGAAATCATGACCGTGAAATAATTTATAATCCTGATACAGAATCATGTTTATTTGCATAAACTTTAACTTGGAATTTCTTGGGCAGATTCACTTTTATCTTGAACGTTTTAGTGGAAAACAAAGGAACTATCCTAGACGTTTGTTAAGCAATATACAATATTCGTATGCGTGTTGTGCAGGCCACTCTTACTGTATATGTTACATATACTTATCATGTATGTGAACATATCAGTTGCAAAATTAAAGGAGATCTTGTTATCAATATATACGCTAGAGAACATTGCTTAGTAAACCGAAGCTAGAGTCGACCCTGTATACAGCTATTTCAAAAAAAGGTTGAAGGACGAATGGTGATACAGGCAATAGGCGAAAAGCGATAGGAGATAGGTCATTCCAAGATGAAATATGACTTGTATGCTCACTGTGCCTTTAGACTGAGCTTTCCTTTCATAGGTTATTGTACGAAAAGCTATTCTTTATACTTGACATGTACTTCATAATGATTAGCATAGAAAATTCCAAAGTTAGCTCTTCATGGTTACCAACTGGGTGCACAATATACAAGTTGTTAAGCTAATCTGTTCAAGATTGACATCTGTCCTTCAAGATCAGTGACTCCACCCTCAAAGTATATAAGGGCAATTGCCACACTTGTCCAGTGACTCCAGTCAGTTAGTCGAGAGCCCTGAAAAGCGTTAACAACTTTGTACGGACACTTCTTCTACGGTTTGTTGAAGTATGAGTGCCTTTTATCTTTCTTCTTTGAGGGGTTAAATTAGCTAACAGTGTGAGATATTTCATTTTTAGCGTTTTCTTTATGCTTATTGATCATTGTGTGCAATGCTTATTTATATGTAATATCACAATATGAGCGGGAGATCTGTATGAGGATTTAAGAGCTTTTCTAAACCTCTAACAGATCTCACGCGAATATTGAATATTACTTTTAAAATGTCTAGACTAATGCTTCTTTTTTAGAGTAAAAATTTTTGCATTAAATGTAATTTGGCCGAGATATTTCAAAGTCAACCTTATGCAAATTAGGACAAATTATGTATCAGGGTTTACAGATGCCTTCACTGTAATGATTTTGCATTGTTCTAAGGTCATCCATGAATTTTTTAATTGTTATCAGTAACCCTGTTGAGTGTCTTCCAATAAATAGTTTTCAAGTTTATTTATTTCTTTAGTTTGTTTGCTATCATTATTTGCTATTGTTGAGAAATTTTGAAGGCCAATAAAGTTGTATAAATATAATATAAATATAAATATATATATATAGATTGTAGATAGATCGAAGAGTCTACACGCTTACGCGATCATCTGACAGACTACATTAAAGTCTGTTTTTATGTTCGCGTAAGCGTGAAACTCGAGCTAAAGTGGTTAATTAGATCTATCTACAATCTATATATATATAAATAAATCAAAAATTCCATAGGTCGAAAGAGCAACGAAAACTATATATCTCAGCCAAAAGTCCTAGTAACTGAAATAAGTTATAGATACGAAGATACGAAGATACGAAGATACGAGCGATTGATAATGCTCAAAGTTGAAAAATGACAATATACCCTCAGTATGTCTGGGGTTATACGCTATACCTCCTAGAGGTCACTCCACAAAAGTCGAGAAAGAAAGAGAGAGAGAGGTGATGAGAATTTAGTAGCGGGAGAGTCTAAGTAGCAAGCAGTTAATGTAATGTGTTCATAAAAAAGCAATGATTCACACCTAATACAATTATAGAGAGAACAATAGAATACAATAGATTTTCTGAATACATTACATCAACTGAGTGCTAGGTAGGTTCTCCCATTTAGTAGCAGTCGACGGAGAGTCGAGTCAACGAAAAGCTTATTTTAAGAGTTGAAGGGAAGCGAATCAGTCGAACCTAATAGATTGCAATTCAGTCCATAAAATAAAATTAAGGCCCCGTCCACACTATGCCGGATAAATTTGAATCCAAATTTTTATTTATTCGGTTAGGCCTCCCGTCCACACTAGTCCGGGCGAATCCGGAACAATTCTTTACCGAAAACAATTTTTTTTCGAATACGGTCTCCAGAGTGGAACAATTTGAAAATGCTGGCTAGCCTTATTATGCACCAGTCAAAGTAAACCCCCACCCCCCCCCCCCTAACCGGGGACAGGGTCGGGGCAACGTGGGGCATGAGATCACATATGACAAGCAACGATGCCCAAGGGGGTGGGGACAAAGTGAAGATTTTACTACTAGTAATATGTTATTATGGTGGGGCACTAGGTAGGGGTTTGGTCGGGATTAGTTCAATAATTTACTAACGCTTTCAAGATTTTTGTGTAGATACTTTTTGACGTTGATTTCTTGACATTAAACTTTTCAAAATTAGTAATTACTTAAAGAAAGAGATCAACTTTGAGTATATTCAGCAATGCTAAACTTAAAACAATATACTATATAAAACGATCATATTACATATCACTAGTATTAATAAAATGTTAAGGATATCGAAATTGTATAGAATTTTTTAAATTATAGAACTTGCACGCATTAAGTATATTTCTGGCGGGTATAAAGCATACATTTTCTGAAAGCTTATAGAGTATAGATTTTAAAATGTATATTTACATGTAATATACGAGAAATATTTGGCCTTATAGGGTGGGGAATTTGGTGTTTAATCTTGCCCCTCTAGGCAGGGGCATGTTCCAACATTTGCTTAGCACATTTTTCAAATGCCCCACCAATCCCCACCCTGTCCCCGGTTGGGAGAAGGGGGGTGGGGGTTTACTTTGACTAATGCATTAGTGTGGACGGAGAACATTTCGTATCCGACATTTTTCGAATACGATGACGTCACGATTGTCATGGGAACATGGTGAGAAGGCTAAAAATCACCGCGGGCTCAATTTCAGCTTCGATGCGCATGCTCAGATGTGCGTGCAATGAAGCGTTTTTGCTGCCTCTGATCGGACTAAGTGTGGACGCGAAACATTTTGTCCGTTTTCATGTGTGGACGGAAAACCTTTTTTATTTTTCGGTTTCGATGTGAAAGTTGCGGATTCAATTTATCCGGCTTAGAAATTTACTTTTCAAATGCGGGTATGCAAATCACTGAAAGATCTGGGTCTGTCCACTAAGATTTCTCAGAGGCATTTCAGAGGAAAGGAATTTTCGTCGTGGTTCTCATCGTGGTATAAAATTCCATCCAGGTGATCTCGCTCACGCACTTCCGGTTACTATTAACCAATCAGAAGCATTTTTGTTGCATCGCAAAAGTTTCAGATGAATTTCAAAATGGAGTCGCATTTCGAGTTAAACTTTTCAAAATACGTGCTGCAATATATCTTCCATTTAAAAATTCTGTTGCATATACCAGAAACGTTCCTACTGCCCCATCAGCAGTTAATATCAATAAAAACAAAGTATAAGTGCAATATTAGTAAGCGAAATCGGCGTTGGCTAAATACTCCAGTTTCGAGTTCTCTTTGCTCAGCCTTAGTCTCGGTTGTGTTTTAGAATATTCAGCCAAAACCCGTGGCATTTTAATCAACTCGTATTGCTCCGTAGTTCGTACATTCCTTACTATACAATGGRCCTTAATWAAAGAAAAGAACACATTTGTACATAATCAAGGCTAAGACTGAGCAAAGGCGAACTCGAAATGGGAGTATTGTCACCAGCCGCCATTTTGATTACCGTAAGATATTATAAAATAGGAGACTAGGTATTAGGAACTGTTTTTGTGCACTCCGAATCGAGATCACCTGGATAGCACTGCGAATTTGTGCTCGCATTAAGTTTCTTATTATTTTTATTTTTAGGCAAAATGGACTCGCATTACATTGATATATCCAGCAAGTACAATTACCTTTACGAGCCCATCCATCAACAATTTAGAGCTCCACTTATCATCAAAAGACTACAACTGACACCAGATGATCTGCTCTTGGACATTGGTGCTGCTACAGGTCAACAAGCTCATCTGATATGGAAGCAAGTAGGACTGAAGAACCCTGTGACATGTGTGGAGCCTTGTCACGCATTCTTTGAACATGCAAGCAAACTGGATGGTATTGTACCTGTCACACAAACAGCAGAACTGTTTTGTGATCATTTAGCTCAAGTCGGAAGTCAGGTTTGTGTTCTCAAATGGTACATTAAAGTGCTTATAAGCCTTTGCACAATATTTTCAGAATTGATTCTTTAGATAGTGGATAGTTGATTGTGAAAATATTTCGTCATTTGAATGTCGGGTCTTTAAGATACGAAGGTTTATATTCCCAATATGTTAATGACTATGACGTAACATAAGGGATCATTTAATATACAACACTGCACTCGTTCTGGAATACAGTATTTTAAAAGCATCACCCTTTTACTCGTGACTCACGTAAAGGTTCATCAAATTTGTTTTCCCAAAATGTCCAGCGTCCAATATCAAAAGTTGGCACCAAATAACTCAAATCCCTTATGTTACGTCATAGTCATTAACATATTGGGAATATAAACCTTCGTATCTTAAAGACCCGACATTCAAATGACGAAATATTTTCACAATCAACTATTCACTATTTGAAGAATCAATTCTGAAAATATTGTGTACAGGCTTATAAGTACTTTAAAGTTATTCACAGTTTTTTTTTTTTTTTTTTTTTTTTTTGCTCAGCGGCGATTCAACAAGGTGCTACTCTGTAGTGTAGTACACCACATCGATGACATCGTAAAATGCGTTGGACAGATCCTCGACTACCTCCCGAAGAATGGTGCTTGCTTTATAATAAGTGGGTTACCCTGTAGCGAAAAATCCTTATCATCCCTACCGCTGTCAGTTCTTCAGTTGCAACACCTGAAGGAGAATTCAAACCCATTTGATATCATATTACCTTACGTCAAAAGCCGTGATGACGTCACCACAGAAGTAACCAATGAGGAGCCTACTTTCAGAATTCCCAAAAGTAGGTGGTATTATATGATTCGAAATCGCTATTGGTCGTATTTCCATCGATACACAGATGAAGAGATAGAAGAAAGCATTAAAGAGCTGGATAATGGGAGATTTAATGGAGTCAAAGATGACGAACTGATTACTGTAGCATATGAAGCTATTGGAGTCAAAATGACAAAGAAATAAGTGTTGTACTTAATTCATGGTTAGAAAAGAATATAAGACAGACAGACAGACTGACTGACTGATCTGTACAAAAATTATAATACAAAATAAAAAATATATAAATGTATAAATAAGTTTGTGTTAAATAATATGGGTAAAATTCAATACTCTATAAATTATTGAGCTTCAACTGGGCCTTGCAATCATCAGTGCACGAACCAATGAAATCATTTATTACTTTAATTAGGAAAGAACAGTAGTTTTACTATCAGCCATCGCATGACCCATTTTATCCAATCACATCAACGCAAAGTTGAATTTTGTCCGTGAAGAACTTGGCAGTAAGGCAGCACGGTTACAGTCGAATACGGCAGCCCTTGAAGTGACCTCAACCATAAACATGTACTTTCTTTATCTGACTTTGCTATCTATATTGCCACTCACGTAGAAAATTACTTAGACCGTTAGGTAGACAGTACGTAGACAGTTAGGTGGACAGTTTGGTAAACACTTTTTACGTTTCCTTTTTGTGTTTTTGCTGTCTATCAAACATACAAAGCCCGGGAGGGGGGGGGGTACTCCCCTATATTTGCTATACGGGTATGTGCCGCCCTATAGGGTATGGTTTTTCGGCTTTTGGGTCTGGGGTGGGGTATCATTTTTTGACATTTCGTCTGGGATAGGGTATCAGTTTAGTCTGGGATAGGGTTAACGATTTGGTCATTTTTTGTCTGGCGAACAGGCTACGCTTTCTGCCGGCACAAAAACAATAAAAACGTTAGTAAATATTGATTGCAATCGATTGTAAAACCGTATTTTCCGTCTTTTAGTCTGGGATAGGGTGTACAATTCTTATTTTTAGTCTGGAGTAGGGTATGTAAAATTAAAATTTTAGGTCTGGGATAGGGTCAGGGTTTTGAGGTCCTGGCGGCACACCCCTACCCAAGTTGAGGTGATAATACCCCCCCCCCTCCCCCCCGGGATATAAAGTCAAACAATGAAAACTAATTAAATATTATAAAAAAGAGTTTAGGCCTAGGGCAAACGTCGAACTTTCCATGCACCGAACTTAATGGACCTTTATACCACGGCAGCCATGTTTACCCTCATGAGAATAAAAACCTTTGTTTCACCCGCATAAACTCGTTCTCAAACTTTTGTATGCGAAGCTACGCGTGGTAGAATCTATTGTTCCAACCAACATGGCTGCCGCGTGAAAAAGGCGCATGACATCGAAGAATGCCGCCTCATTATCACCTGATATCCATTGTTTTTAATGAGTTCGGTGCATAGAAAGTTCGACGTTTGCCCTAGGCCTTAGTTATTAAACGCGTGAAATAGATATTTGACTAACATTTCATCACATTGTTTTCCACTGTGTGTCTATTTCAATATTACACGTTGACTAGCACTTTTTTTACCATGGGTTAAATGCCTTGAACTCTATAATTGGAAGAAAAGTGAGCAAACCAATAAAAGCAAACCAATTTCCCGTATACACTTATTTCAATAAAGTTAGTCACCTGAAAAGCTATAAAGCTGAGGCCGACAAGGATTATGGGTAGATTCATTTTACACGTTCAACCGCTCGATAACTGTTGATGGACTTGCGAATCTTTTACCGGTTACAGTCTCACCTCTTCTGAGCATTATCGAGCTGCAGTTTGTATTAAAAAAGCTTTGTATATATATGCTTTTTTGATATGAAAAGTTTCCCATGATGCTCAGTGATCTCAGCTTTCTAGGTTTTTGGTGACTAACTTTATTCACCATTTTCCATACATTGGTTCACTGGTTAAACACAATGCGCTCAAGCGGGGCGCAAAAAGGTACTTTCAAAGGATTATTCAAATTTGAACCTTGCAGCCTCGACTGAATGCTTTGTGTTTGACCAGAGACCCGATGTATGGAAATTGGTGAATTGAAATAAGTGTATATCCCTGAATAATTTTTCAAGTGTACTCTCACAGGGAGCCCGGCTTTGGAATCTGTACATGAATAAATAAATCAATAAAGTGTTTTGGGTATCCTGTGTTGAGATTTGAAACAAGACGCCAATGATAAATAAGTCAATAAAGTACTTTGGGTTTCCTGTGTTGAGATTTGGTAACTTGATAGCAGATTAATGTAAGTAACTCGAGAGCAGCTTATAATTCAAATTTAACGTATTAGCGTAACGCACGCCCTAGTCTTACCATTTACTAGGGCGTGCGTTACACTGATACGTTACGTTAATCTGCTATCAAGTTACTGGTAATACGATTACTGGAAATTCAACGTATTCTTCGATTGCACGTTACGTCATCGCGGCCATGATGGTGCCATTTAACAAAAGATTTCTTATTAGCGTCCATTGTTAACGGCACCACAATGGCCCCCATGCTTTTGTCTTTTAACTCTCTTGAGAATGCTTGCAACCCATCAATCAGCGTCTTGTGTCAAATCTCAACACAGGAAACCCAAAGCACTTTATTGATTGATTTATTCATGTACAAATCCCAAAGCCGTGCTCCCTGTGATGTTCTCCGATACCAAGCCGTTTAAATGCTCGTAGCCTTAATGTTTTGACCTAGATGTTTATTTCTCTGATTCAAATCCGTCATGCAGGGGCGTAACCAGGGATCTTGCAGGGGAGGTACACAGGCAATGATTTGCAGAACCAAAAAAAAAAGGGGGGGAGGGGGGGAGGATAATGGGAGTAATTCTTAAACATGCTACAACGTGCAGATGGAAAATGGTCTTCATTTAATTTACATGCAATTTTAAAGCAAAAGAAGATAGATGAGCGGACCTTAATCTTTTATGG